AACTGATTGACAGATATGTGATAGGGGCGATAATGATACCTTTTTAAAATTGCCAGAGCACTCCTTCTTGGCACACCAACTGCATTCTCTATTTTTCTAGAAGACGCTGAGGGGTAGGCGTTTACATAACCAATAACATTTTCATCTTTGTCATAATTTTCTTTGGCATACTTTTTTGGTCTTGGTTTTGTGAAAGATCCAAATTCTATCAAATTATTTTCTAATTTTTTAAACTTTGATACATGGGGTTGTCGTCTTTCGGGATAGCGTTGATAATAAACTTCGCTTGCCTGTTCTTTCTGCCTTCCACATTCGATATAAACACATATCATATCATACTTCTCAGAGTTTTCATAAGGCATTTCGATGGATAACACAAAAATCAACAATCCGCTTCTTGACAGCGGCAATGAATTACCTACATGTTTGTCATTTCCATAGCCATCTTCTCATGGACAACTATAGGTAGGTATATCATGGGTATATCGTATAGGCATAGCTGACTTGTGACGAAATTATCATGAGAATATGTTCGCATTGAAGTCCAGTGACATTACATTAATTCGACACATAATATTGATGGAAACATTAACAATCAAAATATTTTGTAGCAGAATGCCTGAATATGATACTTTACCCATTATTTCTAGTATGCCTTAATATTTTTGCGTTCTAGAAGATAATAAATAAGATATATATATTTGAAATTGAAACGGAAACTTTCCAGCTCTGCTAAAATATACGGGGTGTTCCATAAAAAAAATTGTTCTGTATCTGGAATTTGGACATCTTCTATAAGCCTATATTTTTCAACGCAACCTACTGATTTCCTAATTGAGTAAATTATTGGTCTTATTTCTGTATCTCAAATGTCTTGATAACAATGATATCAAATCGAATAATTTCCCATTTTATTTCTCACCAAATATCCATTTGTCTGGAAATAACATTACCTATGATATTCATTTTCCACCTTTGGTGAATATATACAGAGTGTCATTTTCAACCTCGATTCTGCCTGTTGATAGCATTATCCAGAAATATCGATGATTCCATAGCTGCTGGCGAGCAGTGTTATCATTGGAGATGATCCCACTTGGTCCAGTTTGTATCTTTCTGACAGTTGCAAATTTTTGAATCCTATCTCAATTATTTTTACGGAAGATACGGGGGTTTAACCATAAGAAATGTGACACACTGAATATATTTTTGCGAATATATCTGAAATTGTGGAAGGAAAAGGTAGGGTTATATATATATTTGTAATGAGAACGCCTGGGACTATTCAACTGTGCCAAAATATACGGGGTGTTCCATTAGAAAAAACATAATTGGCTGCCGTATCTTCTCAACGTCACCCTGTATAAAATTTCTGATGATGCCAATGGATTCCACGCATCATACTGTATAAATATACGTTTGAAATTTTTTGATACCTTTCACCGTAAAGTAGTCAGAAAATAAAATCGAAATCGGCAAATTTTCAATTTCCCCCTGTATCTCTAAAACGAATGAAGATATCAAAATTCTGATTGTGCCATCCGAGGTTTCTCCAAAATCGAACCCGGAACATGTATATCGGTTTTTCGATAACTCCTCTAGTTATTGAGATAGACGGTGAAAACGCCCAATTTTGCCCACCCTGTACATTAAAATTCACTTCTTATAACAGCAGAGTGAAATTGAACATAATTTTAAGCCCATTTTTATACAGAAGATTTACAAAACAGACTATTGAAACAAGTCCAATATTATCAGATAAAATGCAAAAGAAAATTATCATAGAGAAAGAGGATTTGATTGCAAAACTACGTAATTCGCGATAGAAAATAACACGTCGCCCCACCTGACGACAACAACTTGAACACTTCTGAGCGGTTTGTTTTGATGATATGGCCAATAAGCACAAACAAAAAACAAATGTGAACCAATGAAAACGAAGTAAACATGCCGCTTTGACAGCTTCCATGAACTCCGATAGGTGGCGTACGCTTATTTTCTATCGCGAATGAAATTGAGAATAAGAGAACGAAACTGAGGAAATCCAGTAAATTGCAACGTGATATAATATCATTGAATGGCATTTTCGATACCGACCAAATTCAAAATTCATCAGTGAAAAGTGAATGCAGCAAAAGGTGGAAATTCAAAAAAATCTTTATGTTTCATTATCCATATATGTCTATTTTATTAAAAGCTTTAATTTAACTTGCATTATATGTTTGTATGTATGTTCGGGTGGAATCTTTGAACTCAATTTTGAAGTAGAAATCTTCAACCGATTGAGCTGGAATTTTGTATACACGTTCAATTTGGATGAAAATGCGCGAAAAGGTGTGTCACGTTATTCGAAATCCAATATGACGGACTATCCAAGATGGCGGAATAGCTATTTTTGATATACTTTTACAATATGGGTATCAAATGAAGAGGCTCGTTGAGAGTAACTCGAAAAATGATGTGACGTCATTCAAAATCGAATATGGCGGACCATCCAAGATGGCGGAATGGTCATTTTCAATATACTTCTACAATATGGGTATCAAATGAAACGGCTTGTAACTAAAAATTAAAAAATAAATTAAAAGTAAAAAAAAAACTTTTTAATAAAAAGCTTCTATTTGAACGCTCTAAAAAGAAGAAAATGAAATTTTTCTTAATAATTTTAACTATCAACTTATTACCTCATTATACACAATTTATATGATCATAAAAGCTTGTCGCGATGATCAATATTCAATCAAATTGTAATTTTAAAAATTTCATCTCAGCAGATTTTACATAATTAAATAAGTTCTAGTTCATTCACACAAGTGAATCGCGCGACAAGCTTTTATGATCATATAAATTGTGTATAATGAGGTTATAATTTGATAGTTAAAATTATTAAGAAAAATTGTATATTCTTCTTTTTAGAGCGTTTAAATAAAAGCTTTTTATTAAAAAGTTTTTTTTACTTTCAATTTATTGTCATATTAAAATGTTGTTACATGAATTCTTATATTTTTTCAAGTATTGTTCTGCGAAAAGTGTATCACCATATAAATTGAAGTGGGTGTTTATATCTTATTTCTATTTTCCATCTACGATAATGATAGATTTGACAGAAAATTTAACCTCCAAAAGGGTATCTGACAATCAGGCGCTACTTGGAAAATTGAGAAGATAAAGAGCAGAATATACCGGGTGACACAGGGTATCGGGCCACCCCTGTAACTTCTGCTTTCGTCGTCGGGTTTTTCTGAAATTCGGTACAGTTATATAAGCAATCATTTCAGATTTGATCACATTACAATCCAATATGGCGGACTTCCGGTATTTCTGGAAATGCCAGCAATTTTGTTTTTTCAAATGAAACACCCTGTATATTTTTACATATTCAAGTTCAACAGGTCGAAACAAGTGCAATCTTTATTTCAAATGTCATTTTTTCGAAAAAAATTAAATTAAAATTGTTTTTTTCATTTCACGTCGTGGATGAATGAGATGTGGTCAAGACTATTCACAATGAGTCACACATAACAGAAGAACATAATTTTTTCTGAAAAATCATTTTTTGTGTCACTTATCCAGGAATCAATTCAGCCACATCACTTTTTGATCATAAATTATTTTTTTTCAAATGGAACCCTTATGGGCCACCTACCCGTCTCTCTAGAACATACATTAAGGAACAAAATGACATATCATTTTTGTTTTTCGGTGCAGTAACAAATTGTATACATTCAAAAATCAACAACTAGTTTATGAATTTCCTTGCAGTTAAAATAATCTTTCAACTAGGTAGGCTGTGGAATGAATGACATTTGACATCAAGATTGCACTTGTTTTGACCTGTTGAACTTGAATATGTAAAAATATACAGAGTGTTCCATTTGAAAAAACAAAATTTCAGGCATTTCCAGAAAAACCGGAAGTCCGCCATATTGGATTGTGATGTGATCAAATCCGAAATAGTTGCTTATATAACTGTACCGAATTTCAGAAAAATCCGTTGACGAATGCAGAAGTTACAGGGGTGGCCCGATAACCTGTGTCACCCGGTATGTCTAATTCTTTTATTTACTCAAACCATTTTAATATAGAAAATAGAAAAGGACAGAAATTCAGCTGTGTCTGAACTCTTATCTAATACCATCCAGTGACTCTAGTCAACGATTATTGGTGTGGAATTTTCGAAATAAAATCCATCACATGATAAGTCTGAAATCACCATAAATAAAGGATGTCCCAACAAGAGCGCCGTATTCAAATTTGGTGCGATTTTATTAATACGAGTTGTACGGTGATTGATTTTTTTACAGTTGTCACGTACAGACCAAGCGATCTAAGAATATGGAAAAGTATTCAAGCCAACAATGTTTAATTATTGTTAAAACACATTGCAAAAATAGAGAAAATTTCGCCAAACATGGCAATTTTTCGAACTTTAATGTGGACTGTATTTCTTGATGTTACGCTGGTTTACACAGTGAAACGCAGAGCGGGAATGTTGTGCCCCTGAGTACATTAACCGAGATCGATGGTTTCTCGATAACTTCTGAAAACCGACTGTCCACTCATTCTCTCCCGTTAGGGTGTAAAGTTTCAAGGTCAATTCGGGGTGAGACGAGCACTATCTATTTTTAGAATTGACTTCACTGTTTAACAATTTCTGGCTGGACTACTCACAGGCACTAATATCTGAGCTTAGGTATAGATGAAAGAAAAAGGGGTGTATATGCAACAAGCCGTTTAAATGAATTTGAGACCAACATCGAGAATTCAGTCACAAATTTTGTAATTAAACGCCTCTGCTGATTAAACTGACGCATTATTGTCACCACCATTTTTGTAATGTGAAATAATTCAACATTGTTCCTTTAAATATTCGTTTTAACAAAATGGGGACAAATTTAATTCCGGTGCTCTTGTTGGGATACCCTTCAGATAAAGATAAAAATAAATGTCAACATCTGATGACAGTTCTGGAATGGCAAAAAAACTCGAAGAGCACTTACAAGTCTAGCGCCGAAATGGAGGGGGGATCGGCGATAAATTCAAATTCAGGAGGCGGTTCTTTGGGCACGAAGGGCTGCTCCACCTGCTTCAGGATCTCCTGCTGCTTTTGCTGGGCAGCCGGGGTCACCGACAGTTTCGAGACGGCCTGGTTCAACCCGGACGGATCCTGACCTGGAATTCAACGATTTTCGATGTGAACGAGGAAAAAGTCTCAGATGGATTGAAGGGATAGTCAGGAATGTCTTCAGTTTTCTAGAAAATCGCTCTCGTAACAATTTTTGTCAGGATACTCGAGGCAGTGACTGCCGAATATTCATATTTGGCTAAATTTCATCATACATAGAAGTATACATAATTTTTGTCGGTTACTCGACCGAAAAGATACATATAATAAATAATGAAGATGATGGAAAGCCCTAATTTCGAGTGACAACGAGAAATGAAAAAACTCCACCGCCCCGTGGGAGTCGAACTCACGACCTTTGGGTTACATGCCCAACGCTCTGCCAATTGAGCTAACGGGACATCCGTCGATCAATCGGCAGGAAGGTCGAGTTCTCATCACACACCAGGCGGCTGAATTCCTCCTAATCCCAAAGTCACTCGAAATCATGCACTGTATAAAGCATCGCTGGCAGGATGGTACTATACAGTCTCCAGTTTTCCCCGTTCGTCCTCTGGCATTGTCTTTTCTTGATTTCGAGTGACTTTGGGATTTAGAGGGATTCAGCCGCCTTTTTTTATGTTCTGGTTCCCACGAAAAGGGTTATCCTGTAATGTTCAGAGAACATCGTGAGAACCAAGGGAAATAAGATAGGAATTGGAGTTCTTCTTGAATTTCTGGACGAAAGGCTGCGAAGCCTCAACCCGACGGGTTAATCTCGCAGGGACTGCCAAGGGAGGTACAATTGTTGATAATTCAGAAGAGCATCGTCCATGAAAATATCTATAAAAAAGAGCCAGATCGCCAACTTTTCTACGGTGTTCCAGAGAAGTGAGTGAGTTTGTGAGTGAGGCATCACCCACGAGACGAATTGCCCTTTTTTGGACAGAATCCAACAGTTTCAGGGTATGTTTGGGTGTCGCACTCCAAATATGATAACAGTATTCCAGGACAGGTCGGATCTGTGCCTTATAGATCATAAGCAGCTGACTGGAAGTGAAATAGCTCCTGGCCCGAAACAGAAAACCAAGTTTTTGGTTTGCACTTTCAGCAACTGATCTCACGTGATTTTCCCAAGAAAGGTTATTGCTGATAGTAATACCAGCATCGAAATGGATGTCTACAAAGGTATGGTTACTCCTGACATGCTTATGTTTGGCACAGTAAGATCGGCTTTTCTAGAGAAAAGGCATGCTTGTGTTTTGTTTGCATTGAAATCTACCAAGTTATTGGATCCCTACTCGAGAATTGTTGCCAAGTCCATATTTATGTTGTCAACATATCTTCCTCGTTCGTTTCTGATTTGCCTGGCTGGTATTGCAGCCCTGGAAGAGGAGGCGGTATGGAGGGTACTATCATCCGCGAAGCTGTGTACTGGACATGAAGTTGCTTCCAACAAATCGTTGATATGGAGTAAAAATAGTGTTGCTGCTAGAATTGATCCTTGCGGAACACCAGCTTTTATGGTAAGAGATTCAGATGAAACTCCGTCGACCACTACATGGAGAGACCTGTTTGAAAGAAAACTAGCTAGCAGAGAACATAGCTGGGGAAACAAGCCATGAGATGGAAGCTTGGCGAGGAGTCCGTGGTACCAGACTCGATCGAATGCCTTGGAGATATCAAGTGCCACGGCTAAGGTTTCACCATATTTTTCAATAGATTGCTGCCATATATGTGAGACGTGAGCGAGCAGGTCACCAGTTGATCTCTGATGACGGAAGCCATATTGCCTATTGTTGAGGATACCTGAATGTTTCAGGTATTTCATGAGCTCAATGTGGATAGTTTTCTTCATGATCTTTTTGATGAGAACTCGACCCTCCTGCCGATTGATCGACGGATGTCCCGTTAGCTCAATTGGCAGAGCGTGGGGCATGTAACCCAAAGGTTGTGAGTTCGACTCTCACACGGGGCGGTGGAGTTTTTTCATTTCTCGTTGTCACTCGAAATTTGGGCTTTTCATCATCTTCATTATTAAATTTCATCATGACTATCTGATATATGAAATTCTACTGCCCGTGCCTGTCACGTTGTTAGGGGCCAAACTCTTCCGAAACGGATCGACCGATTCGTATGAAAATTTTTGTGCCATAAAGTTTCATGTTATATCCATTACCCATTCAAAGATGAAACCATATACCGAAGTTGAATGCATTATATTCAATTTTTCTAGAGATATAGCGAAACAACTATTTTCATTTCTTAACTGAAGACCGTATGCCCCTTTCTCAGTGATTTCGCAACACCCTGTATATGAAATGCTCCTGTCCCTGTCACGGTCACGGAAAATTTTTGTGTGTATTCGGTAGGTATGAGAATGACTCATGAGCTATTTTATTAAATTAAAAATTCAAGACGGCAGATTGAATATGGCGGACGAATTTTGTAATCCGATTTTATTCAAAATTGGAATCTGGGAGTTGTTCGGAGTCGGAGATTATAATTCTTTCATGAAAATTTTGGAATTCAAGATGGCGGGATCCAATATGGCGGACGAGTTTTGTAATTATGGTCCGAGTCGGAGATTGATTCTTTCGTGAAAATTTGTAAATTCAAGATGGCGGAAGAATTTTGTAATTATGACCATATTTCATTCGAAATTTGTGAATGGAGGTTTTTGGGATCGGAGATAATGATTCTTTCGTCGAAATTAAGAAATTCAAGATGGCGGGACCAATGTGGCGGACGAGTTCAGTAATTATGATCCGATACCATCCATTCAGGGTCGGAGAATATGATTTTATGACTGTTGAATATAAGTTCTTGATTCGATTTAGGATAATATAAGAGAATCAAAGACATTTTTTCAGTTCTTTTTTAAATTTCTCAACACTCAATTTTTTCTTCAGACTGGCAGGTAATTCATTGTAGAGGATTATTCCATTGTATAAAATAGATCTTTTACCCATATCTGATTTAATTCTGATGGGAGTTAACATATCTTTTTGTCTGGTTATGTATTCCTGTTTATGATTATTGACTTCAAAATTCAGATTTGAATGTTTATAATTATATTTGACAGAATGGATGAAATTTAATATTTTGAATTTGTAAATGGAGTCAATATCTAACAATTGCCTAGGTTTATAAAGATTTCTTGTTCGTTCCAAGTAATCTAGTTTGTATATACATTCAATAACTTTCTTTTGAAGGATTTTGATTGGCTTTATAATTGATTACCTAGCTGTACCCCAAACTGAAATCACGTTGTAATTTTGAATAAACCAAGGAAAACTATACAGGGTGTCCGCTAAAAGGAAGTCAATTAATTAACCATATATTCCTTGAACAAAAACAATATGAGTTTCTAGATACCATTTTTCATTTCAGCCCTTCATATTCGATATACAAGGTGTCAAAGTTGGAAATTAAAAACTGTTTATTCATAATTACTCGCGTATTTGATAAGATATTAATCCCAAAATTGGTACATTACTTCAGCACAAAGAGTTACTTCGTGTGAAGAAAACAGAACAGGAAATCACTGTCAAATATTCATAATACAGGGGGTCAAGTACACACACTTACCCTCATATTTTTTTTGAACGTGCGCTAATGACTTCAAATCTATTTTTCTTCAAGTGTTCAATCATTTTTGTGTATTTTTTGTCACTTGTTAAATTTCGATATTATTATTTATTTTCAAGATAATTCGAAAAGTACTGGTTATTGTTTGATGCCTATGCGGCTTATGCAAATCTCACAATGTTCACATACTCCTATTTATTTCGTCGAAATTGGAAGAGGGCGTAACTTTTTACGTACGAGAAATTAAATATGTAAATACCGGGTGCTCAGAGCGAATGTTTTGGAATAATTTTTACAAAAAAAAATTGATAGAAATTCAACACGTCTAAATAAATTGCTCCATATGACCTCCATTTTTTTTTAAACACATGGGAGCCCTTTTAATTAAAGAAAATCTTAGCCTTTGAAAAATATGTGGCTTCAACCTGAAATGCTCCCCAGCTTGAAAGAGTCTGTCTCTTAAATGATTCTCGCTCATAATCGGAACCTTATACACAAAATCTTTCATACATCCCCAGACTGAAAAGTCCAAGGTTGTGAGATCAGGAGAACAGGGTGGCCATTTAACAGGAGCATCCTGACCCCGACCAATCCAGCGATTAGGAAAGATTTCATTCAAATAATTTCGAACATTTACAGCAAGATGCTGAGTTGCACCGTCAAATTGAAACCACTTTTTTTTTTTTCATCTTGTTTACAGGAGACAAAAAATTCTCAAAAATGATTGAACACCTGAAGAAAAATAGATTTGAAGTCATTAGCGCACGTACAAAAAAAAATATGGGGTAAGTGTGTACTTGACCCCCAGTATTTTGAATATTTGACAGTTATTTTCTGTTTTGTTTTCCTCACATGATGTAACTCTTTGTGCTGAAGTGATGTACCAATTTTGAGATTAATATCTTATTGAATACGCCAGTAATTATTAAAAAAAAACAGTTCTTGATTTCCAACTTTGACACTCTGTATATTGAATATGAAGGGCTAAAATGAAAAATGGTATCCAGAAACTCATATTGTTTTTGTTCGAGGAATATATGGTTGATGGTTTGACCTCCTTTTATCGGACACATTTCAAGTATTTTAAGGTGATTTGGTGTCTGATCCTATAGAGTACTCCAATTACCAGAGATATTTTCTCTATGATTGATTCAATATGTTTTGACAATGACAAATGTTCATCAAGGAATATCCCAAGAAATTTGATGACTGTAGAATATTTGATGATTTCATTATTAAATTTCAGTTCACTTGAGAGGCATAGTTTAGATATACATTAATGCTGATTTGCTGTAATTTATACTCAATTTATTCTTATAGAACCATGGAGATAAAACAATCAAGTCACTTTCAATTGCATTTCTGATTTGTTGGATTGAGTCTGCCAAATGAATCAATGTAGTGTCATCAATAGAGACTTGAAATTACAAAATTATGGAATGAGCAAACTTCATCAAATTTTTCTGTCATCTTACTGGTAAGTATAAATAACCTTTAGAGTCTCACAAGAATATTAAAGTGTGTTTCCTGGTTTTAGGGAGTCAAATATCTACAGGGTGATTCAAAGGTAAGCAGCATCCTCCCAGGGGTGTAATCCCAAAAATAAGTCAACAAAGTTCCTATCAATATAGGACCAAAAAATATTTCTAAGGGAGCTATGCCTCTTTGAATAGATCACCTTGAAGATTGTTTTTTAATAACTTTAATTGTGATAATTGAATTTTGAAAACTGGTGTATCCATAAACAATTGATGGTCATAAAGTTTCTGAATTAAAAATTTTAAAATTTTATCCAGTGACGTCACGTGCGGGGGAGGATAGGGGCAAAAACCTTATTTTTTTCTATAAATTTTCAGGTTGATGTGATTTTGTTAGAAAATTGTAATATTTCATGTAAAAAAGTTACTCTTAGTTCAATTTGATAGATACAGTTTACAAGAAAATTTACTATTCAAACTTTCTGATTTAAATAATGAAAATTATTCTGCATTTGGATAAGAAAAAACAACCCTTTTTTTACTGAAATTTTATTTGAAAATGTTTGGATTCAAAATCTAATTAACCATCAAATGTTTATACCATACTTGATACCATACATCAATTTTCAAAATTTTGTTTTAATGGTTTGATTGATTGATTGTCTCAAGAAACATTTAATAATAATAATAATATTTGCTTCTATTGACAGATAATGGTTAACAAAAAAAAGTTACATATGACATCATCTATACATATGAAATAAGGAATTATAATAGAATATACTACATCTTCTGATTAAACTGTAAGTAAAGACAAACCCAAGTTTTGAAGTTATGGAGAAAACATCTCTTTGAGGGGTCCTATTCAAATGGGCATAGCTCCCTTAGCCAATATTTTCAGACCCATATTAATAGTAAATTTTTGCCTTATTTTCATGCAAGGATTGCACCCCCAAAAGAATGCAGCTTACTTTTATTATAATTAATTATAGGTACATTATTCCAGAGGCTGTTGAAGGACACAGAAGAGAATTCTCTGAATTGGACTGGTTTTACTATAATTACTATAAAACCAGGAAAATAACTCTTATTGATAGGAATGGTGCGGGAACAATCAAACTTTGAAATTGGTGAAGCCATTATTAGTGGCAGGTTTCTCATCAATGTAGTGTAGACTGAAGTGTAGGTAACTAATTAAAAAAACTGTAGATTTGAATGAAACTGAATATGAATGGATGCATGTCATAAATAGGTAATAAAAAATCCTTAGGACTGAAGTTAAAGATAACACCAATATTCATTGAAATAACTGATTGTACTACAAAAATAATATGAAGACATAACAAAATTCATGGAAAGATTGCACATTACCTTTCCCTTCCCTGAAGTCCTTGACCTTATGTTGATAATAGCCATGATATGGATCTCCAGTGTTCAAGAAGTTGAATTTAGGGTTCCCAAGTTCATTTTGTCTGATGCGAGCCTCGAATTCGGGGCCATTTCTCGCTACAAAACTGGCAGTTTTGTCAACAATGTCTTAAGATATGTTTTCAGGAAAATATAATTCCAATATATTTTCTGATTGAACTGTAAGTAAAGGTAAGCCTGAAAATGCAGTAAACCACATTTCAAAAAGGATACTCCTCACCTCGGGTGGCGGATAGATAATACCCACCACAGGGTTGATGGGACCTGGTTCTTCATTATTGGTATTTGCAGTCACCTCCAGAGGCGGCATTTTCAACTGCGGAATACTCAATAACAGAGCAAATTATCTGTGATGAAGATTTAATTAATTAATCTGGAATGAAATGAGGTATCTAAAACAAACGAGGGTTCTCTATAAAAGGTTCGTATAGATCGTAGACGAAATAGTGAATAGACTCTTATTAAGAATAGACCACCATTTAAAATTGAGTGTTTTTCTGGTTGACGGTTGATGTTGACTGACTAGTGACTACTGACAACTGACAGTACTGACTGGACACCAGACCGCTCTCTCGCCAGTCATGCAACTAGCATGCTGCTGTGCTGCGGACGCCCTTCAGGACTCAGAATCAAGGACTAAACTTGTACCATATCCTGGACGAGTTGCTGGGGCGAGCGACAATTCAAATGTTTGGATTGCTGCCCACGAGTTTCCTATAATTCAATGTGTTTGTGGAAAAAATAAAAACAAAAACCACAATTCCGGTAATTCATGGAGCCGAACAATCTCTTTAGATGATACTATTGAGAGTGTGCTCTCGCCAACAGCAGCAGCGAAAACGCCAGCGCCAGCAAACCGCCACATTATATACACTGTGTCCATAAAGTCACCCCCCCCCCCTGGTTAACTATTGAACGGATGAGATTTTTTTTTTTCAATTTTTTTTTGCTTCAATGGTAGTTTAAGTGCTATATATTGTTCCAAAAAAAAAATATGTATCCTCCAAAATGGCGCCTGGGCGCCATTTTGGATGATTTTTTTAAATGGAGTGGGGGGTCGAAAGTTACCTCGATTGAAAGGTCTTTCGATTCTCTATACAACCTCAGAATCTCAGACAAAAATATTCATCCAAAACAAAATGGCGGATGATAACGTTTGAAATCTCACACCAGAATTCTTTCGACTGGATGGCTATTAAAGTGCTCGCATGTGATCTTCAAATCTTTATTGGCATATAGAAGAGTTCTCTATCTATGAAGATATCAATAGGAAGCCATTTTGAAGAGAATAACATGGTAGTATCGTGGAATAAACATTGTTCTTTATTTTGAATAAATATTTCTAAAATTTTGCAGAATTTGGAAAGACAATCGAGCAAAGGTATAATTGACTACCATGTTATTCTCTTCAAAATGGCTTCCTATTGATATCTTCATGGATAGAGAACTCTTCTTTACGCCAATAGAGATTTGAAGATCACATGCGAGCACTTCAATAGCCATCTAGTCGAAAGAATTCTGGTGTGAGATTTCAAACGTTATCATCCGCCATTTTGTTTTGGATGAATATTTTCGTCTGAGATTCTGAGGTTGTATAGAGAATCGAAAGACCTTTCAATCGAGGTAACTTTCGACCCCCCACTCCATTTAAAAAAATCATCCAAAATGGCGCCCAGGCGCCATTTTGGAGGATACATATTTTTTTTTTGGAACAATATATAGCACTGAAACTACCATTGAAGCAAAAAAAAATTGAAAAAAAAAATCCCATCCGTTCAATAGTTAACCAGGGGGGGGGTGACTTTATGGACACAGTGTATATTTGATGCGTCCTATCTCTAGACGTTTCTAGATTTTTGACATTTGTTGTTTTTTAGGTTATATTGAGGTCACTGGCGTATCATACGTAATTTCAATATGGAATTCCTGATTCAACTATACCAAAATATAGATGAACAATCCTCTAGTTTATTAGAGTTCACTACTCCAGCATAATTTTTGCGAGGTAGGGAACATATGAATGGTACCGAAAGCTCAATATATTTCACCAAAAGAGACTGTTCTTAGACTGTATACAAGGTTTGACTGAATTGACTGAATGAATTCTAATTTCAAACTGAGCAGTAGTTTATTTATGAGCTGAATGAGCTGAGTCTTATGATTGAGAAATGGTGAAAACCTCGATGTAAGTATCTAAACTACTGTACTCATGTAATGTGTGCTAAATATATTTTCGGAAGTCCAACTCGAAGAAGAATTTATGGAGTAACTAATATATCACACTATGTATAAAAATTTGTCTAGGACGAAAAGTAGGCTATCAATATTTTGGTATATATTTTGGTATAGTTGAATCAGGAATTCTATATTGAAATTACGTATGATACGCCGATGAACTCAATATAACCTAAAAATCAACAAATGTCAAGATCAAGAATCTGATAGGTATTTTGAGCCGATACCACATTGGATACCACTCGATACATCTAGAAATCTCAGAGTAGCTACTCCTTCGATTTATTTCCACTACGTGTGACCAATATTTTTGAAACAAAAATTGTTTGTCTGTATGTCTCTGTGGTAAATTATTTCTTGGTAATGGAAAGGGATCGCGATCTCTTCACTACATATTGTATTTAAAGTTATTCCATAATCACGAGATTTTTGGAAAAAATATATTTTCAGCCTATGTGAAATACTTCCATATCGTTAGTGATTTTCAAAAAAAAATAGCACCTGTTTACAAAATATTTCCCCCCCCCCTTCAATTTTTTTATCATCATTAGTCATAAGTAAATCATTTTTTGTTCGGAAATTAATCGGTAAGCAGCATGATTCAACTTATTAATCATTCATTCGGAACCATCAGGTGGTAAATCGAGACAGTCTTATATTAGATGTCATCACGAACGGTCGAATTTTGGGATCAAAATAGAAAAATACGCGAGAACAATTATTTATCGTTTCAAACTGAGTGTTCCCTAAAAACTGAGTGATGGTACCTATTGATTCGTATATAGGGTGATTCACGAGCCACTGTACATACTTATGGTGTACATAGGACATACCTCTGCCATTAAAAAATGAATATTTATATTGGTCAATTCGACGTAATCACTAAGATACAGGGTCATTTTTCATTTTTGGCCAAAATTGATTCACACTGTATCTTTTCAGTCGTTTGATCAAATTTCCTCAAATTTCATACACTTAGTCTACTAATTAATGTCAACTTTCTGGAGTAGAAAGGGTCGCCAAATTCCAGGCCCGGACTTGGAAAATTTGAATATGTCGTCTCTTACAGATAGGACATCCTGTACATTGGAATTTTGGCGTTTGGCACATTTGAAGTATGTAATTTTAAATAAAATATTGCTTTTCGAAAAACATTCCATTTATTTATTTTATCTCTTGAAAATTTATAAAAAAAATAAATTAAATTTTTAAAATGCATTCCACCATCATCCCTGCACTTTTGTGCTCGCTCGAATGAATTTCAAGTTACATTTAAACCCATTCCTGGACTACATAAAATAACATTTAACATAATTATCTGATTTTCTATCAGTAGGCCATGTTAATATCCTTAATAATTCACCCTGTATAGTGTTTTTGTATTCCTCATACGATTCAATAATAATAATAATATCGGGATCGTGTGTTGTTCTAGTAATAATAATAATAATAAATGTTCTTTATTGGTTAAAACCAAATGGCCATCGACCGAGGTCCTTCAGCCATTGTTCTAGTATTTCGTGTTGTTTCATCAAAGCCTCACTTTTTTCACGCTGGTGAGTGCAGAGAAATTCTCTCAATATTTCCTCATATTTCTGTGTATTAATTCATTCAACTTCATTACCCTATACAGGGTATGTCACGACGGGCTTACACTATCTTCAAAACGAGAATCAGTCGGGAGAAATCCATGGAAATGTGCATACTTATATTTTGGTATACGCTCTTTTCATTTAAGATATGTTCGACAATGCAGTGTTGCCGCTTCTACTAGAAAGTACCCAGTTAACCACATGTCTCAGCTCTATCACAAGAGAGATCAGTCAAAGAACTTCGTTTCATCACACCGTTCTGAAACATATGCAACTTGCATCTAAAATATAACATGCTACTGCTACAAATCACTGTTTCATCACACGTTCTATCAATGTGATAAAATTGAGACACCTTATAGGCGTCATCACACAAGAGATCAATCGAAGAACTTTGTTTCATCACACGTTCTATCAACGTGATAAAATTGAGGCATCCCAGGCGTCATCACAAAGCAGATCAATTAAAGAACTTTGTTTCATCACACGTTCTATCAACGTGATAAAATTGAGGCATCTCAGGCGTCATCACAAAGGAGATCAATTAAAGAACTTTGTTTCATCACACGTTCTATCAACGTGATAAAATTGAGGCATCCCAGGCGTCATCACAAAGCAGATCAATTGAAGAACTTTGTTTCATCACACGTTCTATCAACGTGATAAAATTTAGGCATCTCAGGCGTCATCACAAAGGAGATCAATCATAGAACTTTGTTTCATCACACGTTCTATCAACGTGATAAAATTGAGGCATCCCAGGCGTCATCACAATATAGATCAATTAAAGAAATTTGTGGCATCACATTCCACAACGTTCTGAAATTGAACTGATGCAAATTGCATCCAAAATATAATTCTTGCTTGTATTGTAGGTTTAATAGTGATCATGTGAGTACGTGAAATTCACTGTGGTTGTGGTTAATGTGGTTTAACAATCACGAAGACGAAGAATGTGCTTTGACTGCTTTGTGTTTACTGGGCCCAGTATATGCCTCAATTTTATCACGTTGATAGAACGTGTGATGAAACAAAGTTCTTTAATTGATCTGCTTTGTGATGACGCCTGGGATGCCTCAATTTTATCACGTTGATAGAACGTGTGATGAAACAAAGTTCTTCGATTGATCTCTTGTGTGATGACGCCTAGGGTGTCTCA